GCGGCTGTGGGGGCGCCTGGCCCTCGCCGACGGCAGGCACGCCGAGGACGCCGGCTTCCTGGGTATTTCGTCCCGGTGCCATTTTCGACGTGCGTCTAGTTTCAAAGATGAAGAGGAAATACGGGGTCGATGTAACGCAAACTTGGGCAGGGCAAGGGGGGGAGGTTGCGTCGGGGCAGTTGCAGATTTGGCACGACGACTTTTCTCCTCTGCGGTCAAGTCCCTCATTGGGGTGCCCAAGTGGTAGGAGCCATCTATCAAATAGAACTTGCTGCATGCTCAGACTCTGCAGATGCATGGGCCGTGGAACCAATTGACCCTTGTTTTTCTTCAACGGTCCTGACGCCACGGATGAGCACGCCATCTTTCAGAGATATTGTGCCAACCCTAACCCTTCGGCGGGCTAGATGAGGGCTTGACTGTATTGATTTGGGAATGTTAGTGTCCATTTTCTGCCGCGTCGATTGGCCCTGTAGAATATCGAGTGTTGAATCTGGTCCAAGTTGGAAGTCAGTCCTGCTTCATGGTCAGCTGGCAAGCCACAAGTTGGTCGATAAGCACGAGTTCCACATCGCCAACGGAGAAAATGGAATTGATTCAGCAGCCTGTGCCGCGGGATCTGTCGACATGGAGCGCGAAGCCGGAGCAACAGTGGGTTGTGAATGCCATTACTCGGGGTTAGTAGCGACCGGGATGACGCTCCCACCAGGGCCTGTGTGAAATCTTTTCGTCCATGGGAAACTACTGTTGAGTGGTCCAGTCTGAACCATGCATCTCCCGACGGCGAATCGATCAACAGTTCTGTCCGAGCCTCAAGGGCAAGTCTCTTCTGAACCGTCATGGGAGGCTGGATGCCGCGCCCGGGCCTGCGGAGAGTACGTACCGTGACTGCTCTTGACGGCTGCCGGTTTCGGACGCCGACCGATACGTGAATGGCCGGACCGAGGTCGGCCCCACACCGACTTGCGCCATACGGGGACGGAGGCGTTGGCCAAAAGCCGTGGTCGGTACGAACATATCAATCTAGCTACAAAACCATCATCGATTTTGGAAGAATGCTACGTTCCATAATCGTCGTCTAGCCTTGACAAGCAATGAACCCAGGGTGGTGCAAGCTTACTCCAAGGCACAGATGGCTTTTAACTTGAGTTGTACGCCATTTTGGGTGCGCGGCCCTCGGGTTGCACGCTTGTAAGCTGGGCGCCACTTTACATTTGTAGGAGAGGAGCCCTCAAGTTCGGCCTGTCTGGCAAGTCTGCGAAAAAGGGGGAGGGTCTATTTGAACGAAAAAGGGCAAATCTGGAGACAGGGGATTTAATGTAACAAGACAAGGCTGAGCGGCATGTTTCCAGTGCACGGTACATCTCGTTCTGGGCCAAGGAGAATAAGCAAAAGAATAGTATCGCTTTTATACAAAAACTATGCTTTGAACGCCGTCCCAGAAATACATATCCCTCATCTACATACGCGCCATAACAGGTCGTGTCCTTGCCCTACGCGTCATAGCCGTGTTTGGTTCCCAAAACGCCGTCGCCGCCACTGCTTCTCCTCCTCTTGCCAATCACCTCACGGAACCACTCACTCAACGTAAAGCCCCAGTGTCCAGCGACCAACACGCCTGAAAGCACATTGATGAGCTTGACGACAAACATCAAGATGCCGTCGCGGTCCTCGTTCACAGACAGCAGGATTGGCTCAATATCGTACTTGACAAAGATGCCGGGAACGTTGTATTCAGACACGCCCTTGCTCTGTTCGGTAACGGCATACTGGTTGGTAAAGATGGAACTGGAGCCGACGCTGTACCGGGTTGGCACGACAGAGACGTAGTACTGGAATTTGTGAAAGTGGTTCTCGGCAATGTTAATGGTGCGGTCAAGAGGGTTAACCAGGGAGGGGTAGTATGAGCCAAAGGACAGTTCGGAGATGATGTGTGAAAAGTTGAATTCTGCGTCATCTGTCAGTCTCCTCTTTTTGTTTTCTTTCGTTTTTTTTTTTTTTTTTTTTTTTTTTTTTTTTTTTTTTTTTTTTTTTTTTTTTTTTTTTTTTTTTTTTTTTTTTTGGTTGTCCTTGCGAGTATTCACGAGCATAGTTACTTACGAGAGTGGTCCAAATGGCTACCCTGGCCACGGTACCCATGGCCTCTAGCCGTAATGTGAAAATCACCCTGCACCTTGTTCAAATCCAAGCTTCCATAGATTCGGCAGCTATCGGGGGGCCCTTTGACTCGGGGCGTCTTGGCCCATTTTGCCCTTCTCTGGCCCAGAGCCACGATGTCGTGAACGTGCTCCTCTCCAAAGCCTTCGTCGTCTAGGTTCTGCCACCCTGCGCCGGTAACGACACGGCCCTCGCTGTCTCTACCCAGCTTGTGCACACCCTTTTGGTTCACCCACTGTGACCAGCTCGTCTCGTCCATGTTCAGCTTGGCGCCGGCAAGGATGCGATCGCCAGCAGCGTCCTGGACGTTGATATGTAAATCGCCGCACTTCATCAGGATGACGGTATCTAGATTGATTTGCATCGAGTGCGAAATCCCCTTTTCAACAGCGAATGTGTGGGATTCAGAGCCGCGCCACCATCGTGCGATCTCGGCCCAGAGCAGGAAGATGGACACGACTGCCATGGCCACGGTCCATTTGCCGCCGCCTTCGGTGCGGGTGACATATTCGGGTTTTGACTTGGCTGGATGAATGCAGAGTGAGTATATGGTCGAGGCATTATGCTTATGCGAAACTTACGAAAGGCATCGAATGCGCTCACAATGCTGCCTTTTGCGCCAAAGTTATCCTCATCGAGGCCATGCTTCTCGAAGTGATTCATGGTGCATACGGCTCCGGGAGAGAGCCACGAACAAATATACAACCTAGGACCGGGAGTGAGTATTGGTCCATGAACATCCTAGAATGTAATAAGGTTTTGCAGTCCAATGTTGCGAATGGAAGACGTCGTGGAGGGTCGACGGGGCGCTTTGATGCTGCTCACGTGTACGGAATGTGAGAATAGTAGTTATCTGGAGCCTTGAGGACAGCTTGACATTAAGCTCACACAAAGAAGTGCCCCTTGTTTGAATTCCAGATGGTGATTGGCTGACATGACCGGTTCGGGATCAAAGTCGGACCGTGGACCATTGCGGGTCCTTTGTGAGAGTCCAAGGACCCAGCAACCCGAGGTGGAATGATGGACATGTCTGTGACGCGGCCGACTGGGAGTGCAAAACCCAACTCAAACATTGTGTAGACTCCTTTGATGGTATCACCAGGGCGTCATGATGAGTGACAATATCAGCAAGAATACAGCTTGTCAACGTCATGCGGCCTCTGCGCGCATCAGACACCGACCAGATCATTGATGGCGCCAACCGTGGAGAAAAGCGAATTCACCTCTAGCGACACTTGCAGGGTGGCGGTTTCAGGCACCGCTGAAGCGAGAGGAATGGCTGGGTCCATATCCACGGACGGCGTGCCTTGGCCCTAGCTCAGCCAAGGCTTCAGTGTCCACTGTCGATCGGGTAATGCGGCAAGCGATGCTTGGCATCGATCCTGTTTCTGGGGACGTTGGCCAAGAGTCCGAGACGACCTCGTCGATGTTTACTGGCGTAGTTTGGATGAATGACTGCGATGCTGGGTGACAAGATGACCTGGCTGAGGAAGTCAAATAAGCTACGGCCCCTGGCGGGATTCCGAGTAGCGATTACAGACTGCAGCTTCTTGACCGTGGCCAGGCAGGTTGGACCGTGATGGCGCTTCTCTGCAGCCGCCCAACCCCGTTAACGAGTATCCCAGAGCCAAGACGCAGTGCCATGAGCAGGAGGAACTGTCGCGCAGTCAATCTCCCCTGTGTGAGAATTCATTCGTCATGTACGACATCCATGCCAGTTTGATCATGTAGAGGATTGCCGCCATGGTGGTTGTCTTGTGGCTTACTCCGTACATTTGGGAGCAATCAGACCAGACATCATTGGAACCAGGTGACTGGCGCCTATCGACTGCCACCCACCAATGCACGCCTCCTCCCCCATTCATCCATGTATCCCCACCTGGCCACACGGACGTCCCGCCAACTCTCCCAAACACCTCGCTCATTCATTCCACGACGTCCAGCGGTGATCTCGACTCGAGGCCTTCGACTACTATCGTTCTCATCGACACTGATCCCCTCATCGTTGCGGCGACTAACCTGACAACGCTACCATCGCCTCGTGCGCCCTATTCCCTCACACGGCAGCGCATGTCCGATTAAGCAGTGCCGCGCATGACAACCATCGTCTAGTGCGGTGTCTTCTCCCACTCTCGCTTCACCGTCACTCGCTTCGCACCCGAACCTCGTCAAGAAGAAAGAAACACCGTCGCTCAACGATCACTGCGTGGAATTTGGCATCGCACCATGAAGCCGTTCATCTCGCCCCGTCCGACGGGCGTTATGCTCCTGGCCGCTGCCGCCTTTGCTCAGGCACAGACATCACCTTTCTCTATTGACAGCACTGGTAAGGCCACGCCCATCCCCACGCCCAACACTGTACGAGGTCAGCTCGTCAAG